GAGAGCTTGGAATATGCTTAGGTGCCTGGGTGATGAAAAGTTTTAACAGTAGGCTGTAGTTCTTAGCCTTTATGATAGGAACCATGTAGAAGATGACTCTTTAAAAAGATGTGTAGGAGACATAAACAAAGACAATATGCCAGAGAGACCCTTCAGCTTGATTTACAGGCATAGCCTCAGAGTCAAAGGAGCCGGGCGCTTTGAAGATGCAAGTCTCCAAAAACACAAGTTCTGAAGCAAGAAAGTTGGGCAAAGTAACCCATGCCAAATGCCTCTGAAACACCCGAACTGGATTTAAGGGGGCAACATGAATCCTGCAAGACTACACCCAGCTTTTTCTCAGGAAAAGTACGTGGTTTATTAGCTGTCATTGCTGCACCACAGGGGATAGCAGGTTTCAAAACACCTTCAGTTTTGGATGATACACAACCTATATGTTTCTGTGATAGAGTCGTCTAAAGATGTACATTACATAGGCAAAGGATGTTACTGGGAGACACTCTGAGCTCCTCTACCCCTAGGTAATGCTGAGAAAGCTGCACTCAGCATTTGAAGGGCCTGATGTGTAAGGACAGGCATGCACAGCAAGACAGCGGTACTCTGTGCCACCTCAGCAGTAATCACTAAAAGCAGGTGTACAGTTTATTACAAATGCATGTAGATGTCTTGGAAATAGCTTAAAGGCTGCTGAAATCTGGACTCAGAGAGGCTATGCTGCTACAGCTTGAGAAGGAAAAGGAATGATGCAAAAGGGATTGGTAAACATGTGTGAACAAAATATTACCATAGTAATGAGAGTTGCAAAGCCACCAAGGCAATCTTGAGTCAGACCATAGGAGCTGCTGTGGTTAAGAAACACATTAGTCTTTCAGAGATCACACAAACTTCAGAAAGAAGAGTTTGCTATGTAATTTCCTTGCAGTATGAGTGTTAGTCATTTCAGCGAGGGAGCTTTTTCTTTTTTTTTCCACAGTATCTTGGCATGAAAGAGGCTTCTGAGAGTTCACAGTGGCATCAAAACCTCAGCCTCAGAGTTCAAAATGAGATGAGTGCCAGCTCTGGCTGTTTACGTGAAACATAAAAGCACCCTGTGGAAGTGGGATGAAATCCCATTTAGGATTATCATGATGACTTTAATGAAGAGAATCTTCTATCTCCTGGCTCTCTTCTACCGAGCCCTCTAGTAACATTGCATTTCCATGGAGGGGCTAAGTTGTGGGCTTGTATTATTCTGTGTCTGCAGATACCTGTCCTGGTTATATGTTGTTTCTGTGGTTCTGTCTGGAAACATGCATTTTGGCAAGCTAAGTTTCTCATTTCAATGGCAAAGGGCCTAATTCTGTTTTGAAAGTAAAATCTGTAGGCCCAAATAGTATCAGCGAGAGCTTTCAGCAAGAGGCAAATATTCAGATCTCTCTCCTTTCCTTAGCGTTTGCTTTGGCACTTAAATACCTGTTTGAATTTAGCTCAAGGTGCCCAACATGTGTAAGCAGGTTTTTACATAATCGTGGCTGCATCTGTAATCCTCTTTATGAACTTGCATTAACTTCCAAATGATGCTTAAGTTCCAAAGAGCAGCTAGAGAGATTTAAACTCAAAATCAATGAGAGCTGCTGAAAGCCCCATTAGACACTTCTTAGCATCTATTTAAAAAAAACCCAACAAACAGACCAACTGTGCTTTGAACTACACAAGCCTCTTTCAAAGAGGGTCAGGTGCCCAAAGCCCCAATGGTTTTTTTGCCCATTCAGTTGTATTGGCTTTAGTGAACAAGTTTTACATCAGATGGGTGTTTGGTGGTTTCCATTGGACAGAGCTATATAAAAACAGCCCCAAATCTCCATGTGTGAAAATGAGACCAAGGAAGGATGGGCAGAGCCTCCTGCACATTTCATGCAAGGCTCTATAACCTCAGCAGCTTGCAGAGGAAGGGGCAGGAGAGAGGAAGCAACAGCCAGCAGAGAGGAGCACCAGCTTCAAGTCTTGGAAGTGTGCAAGTGCTGGATCACTGTAATTAAAAGAGAACCTAATAATTATGCCTTTTTAAAAAAGATCCCACTAGTGCCGAATTAAGAGTATATGGGGTTTGATTTTTTTTTTTCCTTGTGACATTTTTCTGGGTTTTTTTCGGCTCTGTAAAGATTTAAATGGGAAGAAAGTTTTGGAATTCAATAGAAGTTGGTGCACACATCATGCAAAGGGAGATGTATTAGTTACCTTAGACCTCAGAAAAGAGCAGCAAGCCACAGAGAGTTCAGTAGTGGTGCTCAGGAATGATACCCCAGTGAAACTATGAAGCCTGGATAAATTGAGTTCTACTCTCCAAGGAACTACAGGGAAAGTCTACCATTTCAAACTGAATAGTTACCTTAGAAGCCCAACTTGAAATACCTTAAATCTGATTTTCTAAAAGATGAGAAATCCATATTTTAAATGGACTGACAAAGATGTTTGCAGTTGTCTGAAACTGAAGACAACCATAGTCACTTATGCAAAAACCAAGATGGAAAAAACCACTATACATTATACACACATACAGTCTGGAAGTTTTCTTGGTTGGTGCCTGCCTTGAAGGTGGGGAGAGCTACAATACCAGTAAACCTTTTCAGTGGATTGAAAGTCAAGGTAGGGGTGTGTTGTGGGTGAAGCAGCCACAAACCACATGCATTAGTTGCAACTGAAATTCTTCTGTATACCTTGTAAAGCTGTTATCATAGACAGGCAGATCACACTCTGGGTTTTCCAGTTCATCGCATGCAATTGTAAATCCATCATCTAGAATCGCCAGTAAGGGATGGGCTGTGTCCTCGTTAAGGCAGAAGTAGGTGCCTGCAAGAGAGGAGAATGCCTGAGGATAACTCCAGCAACTCCTTATGGCATTAGGGTTTGCAGCAAGGGTGTGGTGAAGTGTTTGGATCCACAAAAAGATTAACCAGTGCTCTGGAAGGAATCTGTGGCTGACAGTTAGAGGACAAGGTTGTCCATTTGGAGTTTTTCAAATAAATGGGTGTTTTACAGCTTAACACTGTTTAGTTACAGCCTTGGGAAAAGCAGAAAAGGGGCTTTAACCTGGTTTGGAACCTAGCCAGGGCTCAAAGCTGCAGGCACTGTGCAGGAAGTAGCTATTCAGAGATGAGGAGTCCTCCCTGCGATGGACTGTCCGGTTTCGAGTCATCTTCCTCAGAGCTGAAGTGATCTATTTTTAATCTCTGAAAGGAGAAGGGGGGCTTAAAGGCCTTTCCATGGTCCCACTCTTCCACAGAAATGCTGGGCACAGTTTGAAGAGAAGGAACCTCTACAAAGGTGCCATACACAGCATCCCTCATGCTTCAGCACCTCCTCATCAGATCAGCCCTCAGAGAGGCAAGTCAGCTAAGCCAGCCCAGGATAAAAGTACTTCTGCCTTTCTCCCTTCAGAGACTTCACAAAGCAGGTCTGACGCACTGCACTCTGATGAGCAGACATGTGCGTCACAGCTGCTGTTTGTAGTTCATGTTTGTGTATCCACCCCAGTAAGTAAGAATCAAAGGTCATTCCCAGTGTTGGAGGTGAGTGCTTGCAGCTGACAGATCAATTTGCATCAGCTGTTTGCATAATATAGACTCAGAGAAGATAAATCTCTCCAAATGAAATCATTATAATCAAACTGCAAGTTACTTCAATGCAAATACAATACAAACAATGACAGGGCAATTACAGGCATGTGCTGCCGAAAACAAACACATGCTGTGCAAGCAGAATTGCCAATTTCAAATATTGTATTTAAGCAGTTGAAATACAAACAATGGTAACACAATGACAATCTTCCTCTCCAGGGATTTAAGAATGACCATTTCTTTTCTGATTGCTACACTGATGTGTAGCAGACAGATTTCTTACTGAAACATAACCTTTCACTGATTAATGGGTGTGTGGTCAGCTTGCAGAATAAGCACAATTTGCAACTCTCTCACAGAAGGTAAGTGCCGAAGAGACACAGGTATGGTGTGAATGTATCTGTGAGTGATGTGGGAGGTTTGAGACACCCTGGTGAAGCTGCAGCGTCATTATAGCAGTGGTGAAGATGAAAACAGGTGTCTACCTATAAGTCATTAAAGCGAGCTTTGATTGATTAGATGGTTGGGAGGGGAAAGGGCTTCTAACTTCCCTTTGGGGGAGAAGGTTAATCCTTGCCCAGCATGGCACTGAGAGCAGAGGTGATAATACTTTGTTGGTTACCAAAAGCAAAGCTTCCAGCTGAAAGCTAGACTGCCTTTTTCCTGATGAATAAAGGGAACCAGCCCTCAGAGCTTCCCCAGCCAAGCTGGAGATGGTCTAATACATACACAGGAATATTTTGCATATCCAAATGACTCTGGAAAGTGCTGACTGTCTCATCCATGCTTTCCAGCAGCAGCATCATTACAAGGTAATCTCTGAAGTAAAGTAAATTCACACTACAACTTTCTTCAGTGATGTGCCAGTACTTGGCAAGCTGGCAACACCTGGGGGTGTTGGGTTGATCTAGTCTTTTAAAATGTTTAGAAATTAGTAACTTCCAAGTATCAAATGTACTGGACAGAAATAATTTTGAATTACAGAGGTAGAGCAATGCACTTATTGTTACAAAAAGTGGGGTTTTTCATTCCTAAAAGGTTACCAGGTGTGTAATTAGATGTAAGAGATTAGGACCTGATCCAGAAGCCATTGAAACCAGTAGGAATCTTTCCGTTGAGATAATAGATGCTACAATAGGCTGTTGGAGTTGTTCTGAGCTGTACAGTACCTGTGGTGTGTATCAGGACAGGTTCACTTCTTTCACTGGAACCACCCAGGTTTATGGCTCTAACGCAGATGCGATAGGTTTGTGCTGGCTGGAGGTGAATTAGGACTTCGCAGTTAGGAATCCCAACAATAGATCTACAGAAAATAAATCCATGGAAAATGATAGGGTAGAGAACAAAGGTAGGCCTTTCAGATTATTCTTCTGAACAACAAAGAAGAAATTACACAATCAGCTTCTCTTGTAACCCATCAACACTTCACCTTGTAGAGTTAGCTGTTAGTAGCGGGGGTAAGAGATAGTCTGTGACAGATTTTTATGCAGATTTTTACATTTGCTTCTGCCCTGTTCCCATACCCTGTATAATCATTTTTGATTAATATTTATACAATTAATTTTGCTAACAGGAATGTTTACAAAGGTGATTTCACCAAAGGTTCATGGGATGTTTCGTAGCGCTACCTGATGGTTTCATTTCTACACATCACGGACTTGATAGAATAGTAACTCACTCAGTAATAATATCACCATTTTCTTCATCTGGCAGCTTGGACAATTCAACCATGTAGGAATCAACAGGGTTAATGTCTCTAGACTCCCAGCACACCAGTGCTGCATTTTCACAGCTTCGGATCTTTTTACTCTTTATGGTAGGTGGGGAAGGAGCTGAAAAGTAGGCAAAAGAACAATTTTAAGCTGTTGCCTGGAGATGTTTGCAACAAACATGTTTTGAGGACTTAAAAAATAATACAAAGGTGTTTACTAATACTATACAGTTAAAGAAACCTGCTTCCCCAATGGACAATAAACAGCAGGCAGGGCAATTAACAGTACTATTCAAAGACTTAATTTGGACTATAAAGGTCCCAAGAGAATTAATCAGAGAAGTAACATAGATAGAGACTGATTACACATTTGCTTTCTTTCTATCACTGGTTATATCTTTGTCATAAAGGTGCATCTCTTCTCTGCTCTAAGATGTCAAAAACATATGGAACGAGTGCTTGAAGATCGCACTCTGACTTGCTCAGTTTGATGTCAGGATTTCACAAAAGAGAACCGGGGTCTGTAATTAATCTTCTTGTGGTTCAGCTATTGGGAAGAATTCCTGAAGATAAGCCATGCTAATCAAAATATGCTTGACTGAACTGGAGTTACAAAGGCAGCATAGCAGGTGAATCCACAAAAATATATACAGGCCAATAAAAGGAGGACTGGCTTCCACCTGGCAGCACTGGGAGACTTGAGCCTTACTCCCAGCTCTCCTACATGCTTGTATTTAAATAAGTTATTTTACCTCTTTGCTTTTGTTTCTTCAGCTCTAAACCAGGAACAATTGGCCTGATAGGCTCACCAAAAAAAAGTAGGAAATTCCCATGCAGTCAGTAGGCTTACATCAGAAGAAACAAAGTGCCCAGAAAGCATTAGTTGTATAAAGTTCAGAGATGACTGAATTTCACTATGAAGGTCACATAGTTGTATGAATAAAATATTTTACCTGTTACATAAACTGCTCTTTCACTTGGTGGACTGATACCAGAGGCATTTAAAGCACTGACCCAAAATTCATACTGTGTATTCGGCAACAAGTTAGTAATGGTGCAGTATGTTTCTTTGACTTTCAGTGTGTGCTCTGAAATGAAAACAACAAAGCATTTACAGTGCCTTTAACCAGTTACTCACCCTTGCCCAAAGCTGCCTCAAATAATGGAATTGAGGCGCATTGTTTTGTGTGCTAGGTTCAAGAGAGCTCCTTGTGCTCCATACCCTTTGATTAGCTGTCAGGCTGTTTCACCATGCCTTTCTCTAAGGAGGTATAAATCAGACAATGCATCAGCTTCTGAAGGAGCTACACCGCTCAGAAAAAAACCCACAAAACAACCCAAAAGAAAAGTCACCCACCTGTCACTGATTTTTTTCTAAAAAGATCCTGCAGGTTCCCACTCTGGGGGTGCTGTCTGGTCAGCTCATCCCAGCAGTGGGACAAGAGCTGAAGCTATTCATTACTCATTTCTCATTCTTCATCTTATAAAATTTGGACAGGTTCTGCTTTTCTTTCTGAACTGGCCATTTGGCACTATTGGCTTCCAATTTTGCTGGAGAAGTGACTGGGTGTTTTCAGTAAAAGGTTCTGCAAGAATATTATTAGCAGTTTTGTCACAAGGCTGGGACATTTTAGGATGGTTCTGTGGTTCTTTTTTTGTGCGTGTGGGTGATGGGATGTTACAGCCTATTATTAGCACTGAGATAAACTGTAAGATGACTGTGGGGGTTTCAGTGGGCGTGCCGATAATATGATGATTTGCTCTCTAAAAATACTGTGCCTTGCAGTGGATACAACGCATGTGTGTCTAAGGCAGTGCCCACCCCCAGGAAAGGAAATGCTACTGCTGAGACCTGACTCCAGCCACTGTCCCCTTCCCACTCCTGCTATCCCAGCTGCTGGCCAGTCCTGACTTTGCTCCTGTGGTGGGTCCTGCTGCTTGGCAGACCTGGCAGGGGAAGAGTGACAAAGCCAGAAGCAGAAAATGTGGTGGCAGATATGACAGTTTTGGTGGTGGAGAGAGTGCACACAGCAAGTCCAGAGGCACTTGGGTTCAGGCCTCCTTACCTGTTTGTTCATCGCTGCATGGCTCGTTGCTCACTGGTTTATAGCACAGTTGGTAGCACTCAACAGTGTCATCTGAGAAGAGGCCCCAGCAAACTCTCAGTGAGGTTCCAGTTGCTGCATTTGGAGCCTGGGGATTGATCACAGGGGCACAAGGAGCTGCAGAGGGGAAAACAGGTCAGGTTTTGAATGTATAAGCATGGCATGTTGTTCGCAGGCAAACACCTCTCCTTTCACAAAGGTGTTTACACAAAGCCTAGGCACTGAATAGAGTCAAATTCCTCCCACATGGAGAAAAGTTAGGAGCAGAGCCTGTAAATACCTGCAGATAATAATCAGGTCACTAGTGTATGAACTAGTCTTGCTTCAAATCAAAATCAAACCAACAAAATACATAAGCCTTGGCCTAACCTTTCTCTGTAAACTTGACCTCATCTCCCCCTGAGAGCTGCTGTTCCCCAGTGACCTAGTACGGCCCTGCAGGAGCAACATCTGACACACATTGCACTCCTGTGGACCAGTCCAGGGGCTGAGGAGCCTTTGGAGGAAAGATGAGGGAAAAGCGGTCCAACATGGGGGGTCAGCAGCACAAGCAAACAAGTAGCAAATGCTATTTTACTTTAAGAAAAAACAATGTATGGGCATAAAAAAAAAAGCATATTGTTCTTTCTGACCATTTGTGGTATACCATAAAAGATTTAAAATCTTTCATATTTTTATTTCATTCATCATTAGAAATTTGTTTGGGTTTTGCTCTGTTTCCTGTGGATAATAGGAAAAATGTTTGCTAAGTAGCAGAGGAATAAGCCACTGAAATCTGGTTACTGAGAGAAGCTGTGCAGGTTGTTTAAAGCAGTCCAGTGTCCCTCTACTTTGTTCAAGCAACTACAAGGTAAGACAAGGTATCACCAACTAAGCATGCCTGACCCCTCAACAGAAGGTGGGAGTCTCTGTGAGTCTTCTAGGAAATCATCCAGCAAAAGCAGGGAAGACCAAACTTGGCAGTTTGGGTAATTTTCTACTGAAAACAAATGAAAAAAGAAATCCCAAAATAGCTCCCAGTGTCTCTATATATGTAGGCAAACAAAAAAAAACTAGAGAGAAAACTAGGGAGAAGCTAATTCTGCCTTTGGAGTTCTCCTTTAAAAGAAGTAACGGACTTTTGTTTAATGCATTTCCTTAATTAAATGTAAATAGGTCTGAAAAAATTATCAGATAGGAAGAGTACCTGGAATAGTATTAATGGAGTTCATTAGTTGTTCAACTTCAGAGAAATCTATGACCCGCTCCTCAAAGTCTGGCAGTGTTGAAAGCTCTAAATCTACTTCTTTCTTTAAGAATTCTTCTAGCCTGTAATTGT